AGGTTTAGGTCTTGGGTTACTGCGAAGAATACAACCCTAGGCTTTACAAGTGAGCCTGCGGGTAGCCTACCGGTAGGCCTACGGGTAGCCTCAGGCCTACCCGTAGGCCTGAGGAGGCCTGTGGGTAGGCTACGAGTATGTGGGTAGGCTACCCTATGGCCTGCTGGCACCCTAAACCCTAAACCCTAAACCCTAAACCCTAAACCCTAAACCCTAAACCCTAAACCCTAAACCCTAAACCCTAAACCTAGCCTTGGCCCTATACGTAGGCAACCAGAGGCCTACGGTAGGCCTACACATCGGTCGGACGTCGCCGTATTTTCGGGCTTCTTTCTGAAAAAAGGCAAACGGGTACCACTGGGTCCCTCCTTCAGTCTCCGAACAAGCACTTGGGCTTGGGCTGTAAGAACCCTAAACCCTAAACCCTAAACCGAAGCTCAACGATGCCTCTCACGATCCCCTGACCCTCAGTCTCAGAACCTCTCACATCCCTGAACCTAGACCTACTATTGAAGCTTTGGGTCTAGGTTGTAATTAAGGTGGAGGAGTGGAGACTGTATACAGGTACCAAGGATCCACTCGCCGTTACGCCCTCCCACCTTCCTGGAGCGACAGTAAGTCCGGAAGTCAAAAGCCTAAACCCTAAATCCTAAACGCTCAACCCTAAACCCCTAAACCCTAAACCCTAAACCCTAAACCCTAAACCCTAAACCCTAAACCCTAAACCCTAAACCCTAAACCTAGACTTGGCCCTATACGTAGGCAACCAGAGGCCTACGGTAGGCCTACACATCGGTCGGACGTCGCCGTATTTTCGGGCTTCTTTCTGAAAAAAGGCAAACGGGTACCACTGGGTCCCTCCTTCAGTCTCCGAACAAGCACTTGGGCTTGGGCTGTAAGAACCCTAAACCCTAAACCCTAAACCGAAGCTCAACGATGCCTCTCACGATCCCCTGACCCTCAGTCTCAGAACCTCTCACATCCCTGAACCTAGACCTACTATTGAAGCTTTGGGTCTAGGTTGTAATTAAGGTGGAGGAGTGGAGACTGTATACAGGTACCAAGGATCCACTCGCCGTTACGCCCTCCCACCTTCCTGGAGCGACAGTAAGTCCGGAAGTCAAAAGCCTAAACCCTAAATCCTAAACGCTCAACCCTAAACCCCTAAACCCTAAACCCTAAACCCTAAACCCTAAACCCTAAACCCTAAACCCTAAACCCTAAACCCTAAACCTAGACTTGGCCCTATACGTAGGCAACCAGAGGCCTACGGTAGGCCTACACATCGGTCGGACGTCGCCGTATTTTCGGGCTTCTTTCTGAAAAAAGGCAAACGGGTACCACTGGGTCCCTCCTTCAGTCTCCGAACAAGCACTTGGGCTTGGGCTGTAAGAACCCTAAACCCTAAACCCTAAACCGAAGCTCAACGATGCCTCTCACGATCCCCTGACCCTCAGTCTCAGAACCTCTCACATCCCTGAACCTAGACCTACTATTGAAGCTTTGGGTCTAGGTTGTAATTAAGGTGGAGGAGTGGAGACTGTATACAGGTACCAAGGATCCACTCGCCGTTACGCCCTCCCACCTTCCTGGAGCGACAGTAAGTCCGGAAGTCAAAAGCCTAAACCCTAAATCCTAAACGCTCAACCCTAAACCCCTAAACCCTAAACACCTATCAACCCCCAAGCCCGCAGACCCTAAAGCCCTAATCTCCTACAACCCTAAGCCCCTAAGCCCAAAAACCCTCAAGCCTAAACCTGTAAAAACCCAAACCCTAAACCCTAACCCCAAACCCTAAACCCTAAACCCCAAACCCTACCCTAAACCCAAAACCACCCCCCTCTTCAAGCCCTCAACCAATCACCCCAAGGTGCCGCGCAGGCAGCGTCGGCAGCGGGGTTGGCTCCGGCGGATTCAGTTGCAGCTCGTACTTCCTCACTTTGGGTCTGGGGCTTAGGGTTTAGGTTTGGGGTTTAGGGTTTAGGGTTTAGGGTTTGGGGTTTGGGGTTTAGGGTTTAGGGTTTACGGTTTAGGGTTTAGGATTTAGGGTTTTGGGTTTAGGGTTTAGGGTTTAGGGTCTAGGGTTTAGGGCTAGTATGACCTCGAAAACCCAAACTTGTCGGGCCTGCACAGGGAATCGAGGTGCTCCTCGCCGTAATGACCAAGGCCTCCCAGCGTGGCCGTGTTTAGGGCTTGTGGTTTCGGGTTTAAGGTTTAGGGTTTGGGGTTCAGGGTTTAGGGTTTAGGTTTTAGGGTTTTGGGTTTAGGATTTAGGATTTAAGGGTTGTAGGTTTTAGGTTTAGGGCTTGGGGGTTGTAGGTTTTAGGGCTTAGGGTGTTGGGTTTGGGGCGTGGGGTTTTAAAGCTTTTTGGTTTCCGTTGTCCTTTCCATGGGCTGCTGGGCGCTGCCCGCAGCCTGCGGAGAAGGCGATGCGCCGTTTCGGGGCTCAACCCTAAACCCTAAACCCTAAACCCTAAACCCTAAACCCTAAACCCTAAACCCCACGAGCCCCTCAACTCGCAGAGCTACATCTCTGAGGCTTCACCCCTTAACAGTTGCAAACACCTTAACGAAAACTCGTCTAAGCATGAGCGCATTTGCGACAACAAGGGCCCCAATCAGGTACCCCTAATTTCGGAAACCCTAAACCCTAAACCCTGAACCCTAAACCCTAAACCCTAAACCCTAAACCCTAAACCCCTCATCTCCAGAAACAAGGCAGCTCATGGCCAGGTGCCTAGGTGAGCGCGGACTCCGTTGGGAAGGAAGTCCTGCTACTTTCTTGATGATGATAGGGTTCTTAAGGGAGGGTTTAGGGTTTAGGGTTTAGGGTTTAGGGTTTAGGGTTTAGGGTTTAGGGTTTAGGGTTTAGGGTTTGGGGTTTGGGGTTTGGGGTTTGGGGTTTGGGGTTTGGGGTTTGGGGTTTGGGGTTTGGGGGTTGGGGTTTGGGGTTTGGGGTTTGGGGTTTGGGGTTTGGGGTTTGGGGTTTGGGGTTTGGGGTTTGGGGTTTGGGGTTTGGGGTTTGGGTTTAGGGGTTTAGGGTTTAGGGTTCAAGGGGGGTAGGTACCTGGGGAACCTTAGGGAAGCTTCGAGAGCCTTAGAGAGTATTCCCCCTTGAACCCCCCTCCCTTAAGAACCCTATAGCGATGAGTTATGCAGCTTCCCGAAGGAAACTACTGGGATGATATGGTCAGTTCTCCGCCTCCTCACAGGCTCTTTGGATCTTAGGGCTCTGGCTTCGAAGTGCGTAACGATTCTTCAAGGGTATATACAGTTTAGGGTTTAGGGTTTAGGCTTAGGGTTTATTGTTTAGGGTTTAGGGTTTAGGGTTTAGGGTTTAGGGTTTGGGGTTTGGGGTTTCGGGTTTAGGGTTTAGGGTTTAGGGTTTAGGGTTTAGGGTTTAGGGTTTAGGGTTAGGTTTTTTGTTTAGCCATGCGCACGTGTCTGCGCACTTTGGTGCCTTCCCTTCGGGCAGAGGTCCCGGGCAATCTGGGCGTCGTCGGTGCCCGGTGTGTGCCGGCAGCAACGCAACCACCCTGTGAAACTTCCAGACCACTTGGCTTCTGTCACCCGCCATGAGCAGAAGCTCGAAATGAAGGGCAACGCTCAAGACGTCCTCCTCGTTCTGGACTTCGTCCATTGCCACAGCGACCGCTTGCGAAGCCAGCGCGAATTGCTCTCAACCATCTTGCGGAGTTTGTCCGCAGTGGCCACCAAAACGTCCACGCGCTCTTCGAAAGTTTCCGCCTCTGGCGTCTATCTGGTTGTAGGTTTTAGGGTTTAGGGTTTAGGGGTTGTAGGCTTTACGGTTTAGGGTTTAGGGGTTTTAGGGTTTAGGGTTTAGGGTTTTTTGCGTTTAGGGTTTGGGGGTTGTAGGGTTCAGGGTTTAGGGTCGTAGGTTTTAGGGTTTAGGGTTTAGGGGTTGTAGGTTTAGGCTTTAGGGGTTGTAGGTTTTAGGGTTTAGGGTTTAAGGTTGTAGATTTTAGGGTTAAGGGTTTAGGGGTTGTAGGCGTAAGGGTTTGGTTTAGGATTTAGGGTTTATAGGCTTTGGGGCTTAGGGTCTTTAATTAGGGGTTGCAGGTTGCAGGGTTAGGGTGTATATGGGGGTTGTAGACTTTAGGGTTTAGGGTTTCGGGTGTAGAGGTTGTAGGGGGTTAGAGAGTAGGGGCTGTAGGGTTTAGGGTTTAGGGGCTATAGGTTTTAGGGTTTAGGGGTTTAGGGTTTGTAGGTTTTCGGGTTTTGGGTCTAGAGTGTAGGGGTTGTAGGTTTTAGGGTTTAAGGTGTGGGGGCTGCAGGTTTTAGGGTTTAGGGGGTAGGGGTGTAGGGGTTTAGGGGCTAGGGGTCTAGGGGTTTTGGCAGGTTTTAGCATTTAGGGGCTTAGGGGTTGTAGGTTCTCGGGTTCAGGGGTTTAGGATTTAGGGTTGACCCTGAAGCCCTAAACCCTCTCGGTCCTCTGAAGACATGGGACTTCTCCCCATGCTTCGCGCCGACTCGATGTTGACGTTGATCATGTACTTCCCAGCGGCTCCATTCATTACTACTTTCTGCTGAAGAACCCACAAAAAGGATGCAAACATTCTTCCTTATAAGGGTACTGGCCCCAAATCCCGCCTAAACCCTAAACCCTAAGCCATAAGCCCTAAGCCCTAAGCCCTAAGCGCTAAGCCCTAAGCCCTAAGCCCTAAGCCCTAAGCCCTAAGCCCTAAGCCCTAAACCCTAAGCCCTAAGCCCTAAGCCCTAAGCCCCGGTATGCCCTTAAAGCCTTAGATCCTTAAATCATAGTGAGACACGTGTTGCAACATATTAGATTCCTTAAGCAAGTTTGGGAGCTCAGGGTTTAGGGTTTTAGGGTTTAGGGCTTAGGGCTTAGGGCTTAGGGTTCAGGGTTTGGGGTTTGGGGTTTGGGGTTTAGGGCATACCGTTGGGGCTCAGGGCTTATATAGGGCTCGCGGTTGGGGGTGAAGGGTCTAGACTGTGCGGTTTTGGAGCTAGCGTCCGATGACCCAAGAAATCACACAGGGGGTAGGGTGTAGGGCTGTAGGGTTTGCTTAGGGTTTAGGGTTGAGGTTTAGGATTTACCCTGAACCAGGATTGAGCGGCTCCGCCAATCACTCAGATCGCAACCCCCCTAGCCCAACCCATCCGATCGCTGCATCAAAGACCTAAACCCTGAACCCTACACCCTACACCCTGAACCCTAAACCCTAAATACCCTAAACCCCCATAACCCATTCAAGGGCATTGGGTTCTCTAAGACCCCAACCCATAAACCCTAAACCTACTCAAGCCTCAACAACTAGACCCAAGAGGAACTTAGGACTAAGAAGTGCACACTTTTCGGTTTAAAGTTGACAGGGGCTTATACGGGAACCTAAAGCCTAAAAACAAAAAGGAATATGGGCCTACTCTGGGTCCTTAGAGAATCCAGCCCTAAACCAAGTACTGGGTTCTTGTGAGCAGCGTCTGCAGGAGAACGGGGACAGAGGCCCACGTCTTCCAGGGCTCTTTGTGAAGGAATTTACATGAACTACCATATGGGGGGTTTACGATACTAAGGGCCCCCTAATATAAAACCCTAAATAGTAGGGTCCCCTTTGAGAATAAGAACCCCAAAAAGGTACCCCTACTGTCGTAAACCACCATATCAAGAGGGCTGCATACTTTCCTGATGACGGGAACTCCTCTTGGCTACACTCAGAAGGGTAGCTAAACACTAAAACCTTAGCTGCCTTATTAAGAAACCCAATAAGCCCAAAAAGGCTAAGGATCTAAAGTTACAGTAAAGTACCACAAAGTCCTCAACTGCCTGTCCTCGAGTACACTCCGCAGGTCGCTGCTGAGGTGGGCAATCGCCTGGGAGAGGCGCGGCTGCCGTCCTAAATGGAAGTCCTTCCTCGACACCCAAAGTCTAGGCTGCCCAGTAACCTAGGCTTGAAAAGGGTGCCCTTTTTTTGGCTTAAAGGGGTTTAGAAGGGAACCTAAACCCCCCCCCAAAAAGGGAATAAGGGTACTACTGGGCATCCTAGAAATAAGAACCTGAGCCGTAACTCGTAAAATCCCCCAAAGGTGCCCCAACACCCTAAGAACCCTCATTTGGAGCACCCCCCCCCCCCCGGTTAACCTCACACCCTAACCACCCCAAGAAAGAAGACTCTGGACCCCACATCTTAAACCCTAAACCCTAAACCCCTAAACCCAAAACTTGACATCCAAACCTGAGGCTAGGCTAGTCAGCTGCAGAAACAGGTCATCAGTTTTGAACTTCTCCGTGAAGATCGCCGCATTTGCCGTGCTCTGGTTCAAGACGGCGTTGGTCAGCACCAGGCCACTGAGATCGGAAGGCTTGTGTGGTTGATTCGCAGGGCCGTTCCGGGGCGGCAAGCTCACTTTCCATGCTTCAGGTAGCGGCAGCAAGGCTGTCCCAGTACTAGCCTGACCATGAGCTGGATTGCCAGAACTGCTGCTGTTCTGTCTGCGATGCCGCGCCCATTCCTCGTCGCTGTAGCCCCCTGCAGCCTTCTGTTCCCTGTGCCACTGAGCCCACTCATTCTCGGTGAAATCACGCCCACTCATGGCGATCGGAAAATTTGCAGATTTTGCCTACTGCTTCATTTCATGGTTGTTCGCTCATGTGCTGCTCTACTTTCAGCATCTGGCTGGAAAGTCACTCATGGTTTTCCTGCTGGTGCTGCTGTTAAAAAGAACGATTCAACAACAAGCACAGAGTTTGCCAGAACCTACTGCTTCGTGGCATGCTGGTTTGCTCATGCGCTGCTTTACTCTCAAAGGCTGCCTGGAAATTAATTTCCGGCCTCAGGCCCCTGTTTAAAATAGAACTTTCGGACCCGATGTAGGGTTCAGGGTTCAGGGCTTAGTGCTTTTCAGGGTTTAGGGTTGACGGTTTAGGGTTTAGGGTTTAGGGTTTAGGGTTTAGGGTTTCCAAAATGGCAACAGTATTTGAAAGCCCTTCTGACTCGGTCAGTAGGTGTAGTCGAATGGGGATTATGGTAGGGCTTCTAGGGGGATACCAAGTAGACTTACTAAGTCCAAAGAAAACCACCAACATGCCTAAACCCTAAACCCTAAACCCTAAACCCTAAACCCTAAACCCTAAACCCTAAACCCTAAACCCTAAACCCTAAACCCTAAACCTAAACCCTGAACCCTGAACCCTGAGAGGGACCTCCTCCCGTCGCTGGACGTCCGCTTGCAGCGTCGAGGCCTCGCGATTCGCCGCGCAGATCGCCTCCTGCCCCGCTGTCATATGGGGGGTTTCCGAAACTGGGAACCCTAAACCCTAAACCCTAAACCCTAAACCCTAAACCCTTTTTTGGGGGTCCCTTTTTTAGGGGACTCTATTCTATTTGGGGTTTTAAAGGGGTACCCCATATTTTGGGAAATACCCATAATATGCAGATCAAGGCCCAGGGCTTAGAGCTTAGGGCTTAGGGCTTAGGGCTTAGTGTTTAGGGTTTAGGGTTTAGTGTTTAGGGTTTAGGGTTTAGGGTTTAGGGTTTAGGGTTTAGGGTTTAGGGTTTAGGGTTTAGGGTTTAGGGTTTAGGGCTTAGGGTTTAGGGTTTAGGGTGTAGGGTTTGGGGGTTTAGGGCTTGGGTCTGCCAGTTGGCAGGCAAGGACGCGCCCCCCTGAGCCCACCTGCTGCCACAGCTTGTCAAGGGGACAGGGTCCAGTCATATTCTGGACCCCTGAACCCTAAACCCTACACCCTAAACCCTAAACCCTAAACCCTACACCCTAAACCCTAAACCCTAAACCCTAAACCCTAAACCCTAACGCTTCAGGTTTGGGCTTGGAGTTCCGAACGACAGCCATGAAACGCCCAAGCGCAGATTCAGGCTTCGTCTGCGGGCGGGTGGCTTTGGAACTTGAGGCCCTCTTTTCGTGGGCTCTAGTGTGCCCCGCGACGGAAAAAAACAACAGGGCAAACGGGTGAAGAAGTGAAGCCCTAAACCTCAAACCCTACAGCCCTAAGCCCTTACCCTGCAGGGTTAGGGTATAGCATTCCGAGTTTAGGGGGGCTTAGAGACCCTAAACCCTAAACCCCGAACCCTAAACCCTAAACCCTTCAGGTTTAGGAAGCCTTTCGCGTGCCGGGGTTTTTGGGCTGAGTGAAGCAGACTTGTGGCAAACTGCTATCTCCTGAGCCCTGCAACCTGAACCCTAAGCCCTAAACCCCCTAAACCCTAAACCCTAAAACCCTAACCCGAAACCCTAATCCCTACACAAGCCCCAGCATCCTACAGGGTCAAATTTGCCCTGTCGGAAAGACGGAAACATCCTCCCAAATAAGCTTTCTCAACCAACCCAAACCCTATACACTCAACCCTAACCCCTAAACCCTCAACCCTAAACCCTGAACCCTAAACCCTAAAGCCTAAAACCCTACACCCTAAACCCCAAACCCTAAACCCTGAACCCTAAACCGTAAACCCTAAGCCCAAACTCTAAACCCTGAACCCTGTCCTCCAGCTCTGAATTGGCCACGGGACCCCCCTGGCGCAGCCGGATCGCCTCCTCCGCCCGCTCAGGGTTTAGGGTTTAGGCTTTAGGGTTTAGGGTTTAGGGTTTAGGGTTTAGGGTTTAGGGTTTAGGGTTTAGGGTTTAGGGCTTAGGGCTTAGGGCTTAGGGTTTAGGGTTTAGGGCTTAGGGTTTAGGGTTTAGGGTTTAGGGCACTACCATGAACCTTTTTACACTGTCGGCTTAGGACATTGACATTTGGAGATTGAGGTTCTGCAACCCTACTTGGAACTGCTCATGATGAACCTACAAGCAACCTGTACACCCTGTAAACAAAAGAAGCATCCGGTACATGCGCCAACGTTTGACGTGGAGGCCCTAACCCCCTAAACCCCAAACTCTAAACCCTAAACCCTAAATCCTACACCCTAAGCCCTAAACCCTAAACCCTAAACCCCAAACCCCAAACCCACTTCGTGTGGGCCCCCAAGGCCCCGATTGGGAGGTCCTGCTGCGCCCGCCGCGCTTGTTGGCTCAGCGTCTCTGTCTCCCACTTCTGCCGATCCTCAAAGGCGCAGGACCCTAAACCCTAAGCCCCAAACCCTAAACCTAAGCCCCAAACCCTAAACCCGATACCCGAAACCCTAAGCTCTGAACCAACCTACAGCACTTGGGGGTTTCAGGGTTTTTCGGGTTTCGGGGGTTAGGGGTGCTTTCTTACGAGTTTAGTAGTTCAGGGTTTAAGGAGTTAGGAGCTTCAGGGCACTTATAACCCCAACAGTAGCTGTACTTATAAGCAAGCCCCCTAAGTCCCCTAAGCAGTTTAGAAGTAGACTTCTGATTGGGTTTAAGTAGCCATGAACCTCCAGTACTTGGGTTTAGGGTTTAGGGTTTAGGGTTTAGGGTTTAGGGTCTAGGGTTTAGGGTTTAGGGTTTAAGTTTTAGGGTTTAAGGTTTAGGGTTTAGGGTTTAGGGTTTAGGGTTTAGGGTTTAGGGTTTAGGGTTTAGGGTTTAGGGTTTAGGGTTTAGGGTTTAGGGTTTAGGGTGGAATAGTGTTCAGGGTTCAGGGCTTTGGGTTCTTGGGCGGACGACAAACACCAACCCTGCCGTAAACTGCTCTCGAGATTGACGAAGGGTTTAGGGTTGAGGGTTGAGGCTTGAGGGTTGAGGGTTTAGGGTGAGGGTTTAGGGCCCTATACTATAGGGGCCTTAATGATTACAATGGGCTTTTGGGGTTATTATTATACTACAAGTACGCAGGGACCATAAGGAACTCCTGCTAGTCATTCATCCGACCCCGATACTAGACCTTAAACACCGCCCTTGTCATCGGACTTACGAGCTCGCTGTAGCTGGGCTACAGGCCAAATGCCCATGAGGCCCGCGAGGAACGGTTTAGGGTTTAAGGTTTAGGGTATAAGGTTTAGGGTTTAGGGTATAGGGTTTAGGGTTTAGGGTTTAGGGTATAGGGTATAGGGTTTAGGGTTTAGGGTTTAGGGTTTGGGGTTTCGGGAGCATGGCCGCTGTCCCGCAAAGCCCGAGCCGGTTGTGCCTATCAGTGGGCATCCCGGAAGCCTAAACCCTAAACCCTAAACCCCAAACCCTAAACCCTAAACCCTAACCCTAAACCCTAAACCCTAAACCCCAAACCCTAAACCCTAAACCCTAAACCCCAAACGTTATTTCTGGACCCTGAACCTTGTTGGGAGTATTGGGCATCGCATTCCTGGGGCAACGATCGCGAAGGGGAGAGGAGGTCGCAGCTTGCAACACGAAGAAGAGAAGTGCCCGGTAGCCAAAAGCGGAGGCTTCAGACCTAGAGTGTGAGTTTTTAGGTATGGGGTGCCCAAAACTGCAAGCGCCCTCGCCCTGAACTCCAGGCCCAAACCCTGACCCCTATGCTCTTTAGACCCCAATGCCCCAATACCCTAAATGAAACCCAAAAACACGCCCAGCCTCCCTTTGATGCTAGCAAGTGTCCAGCAAGCGCCGACACTGTGCCATTGAGTCCTTAGCCGAGGGCATGCAGGTTTAGGGATTACGAGTTGCAATGATAGTGATCATCATCACGGTAATGATGACGATACTCATGCTAATGACTCAACAACCCTAAACCCTAAACCCTAAACCCTAAACCCTAAACCCTAAACCCTCGTTTTCGCGCCGCGGGCGGATCCGAGGCCAGCAGGCCAGCTTCGCAATCTATGGGCTAAGAGTTCTTACTGCTGGTTAGTAGGGCATGGGGGAATGAGGATTTGGGGTTTAGGGTTTCGGGCTAAGGGTTTAGGGTTTAGGGTTTAGGGTTTAGGGCTTACTGTAGGGTAGGGGGATCTAGGGTGCCTCATTCCCTGATTCCCTACTAACCAACAGTAAGGAGTTCGCCATTCAGAGGCTGGATTAGCGATCTGGGTTTAGGGTTTAGGGTTTAGGGCTGCTTGTTTAGGACTTCCGGGCTGGGAGCTGGTTCGGGGATCAGGGTTTAGAGTTTAGGGCTTAGGGCTCAGGGCTCCAGGGCTGGGCTTGGGGCTTAGGGCTTAGGGCTTAGGGTTTAGGGCGTAGGGCGTAGGGGTTAGGGCGGTTTAGGGCTCAGGCTTTATGCCCAAGGCCCCATGAAACCCCAAAAGTTGCCATCGGGCCTGGCACCACTGAAGGCTACTCAGCTCCCGATCCCACGCGGAAGATCCGAAAGCATTCCTGGAGGGAGCTGACCTGAGACATCGCTTCTGAGGGTTTTAGGGTGCAGGGCTTAGGATACGGGGCTTGGGGTTTCAGGGCTGGAGCTTTAGGGTTTAGGGTTCAGGGTTCAGGGTTCAAGGGCTTAGGTATAGGGTTTAGGGTTCAGGGCGCAGTTGGCGTGGCTGCCAGGGCATCGTTAGAAATACGACGTGCTGCTGCCCAAGCTAGCGTTACTGCCAAGGTACCTGCCGTCGCTTGGGATGTTCCCCCCTATACTAAAAGTCCTTTAAATGGGGATTACGGTACCCCCCCTTTAGGATCCCTATTCAGGACTGTTAGTAAAAGGGGGAACATCCCAAGCCATCGCTGTTCTGTTGCTTCTGCTCCGCTTACTCCCGCAGCTCATCATACTCAGCTGTACA